CCATAGGCTGACGCTCTATCTACTGAGCCAAACCAGCCCGGGCTATTTGCCACTTGAATGTGAAAGGAATCTCAGACACCCCGTCCCCCTGTGGAGCGTGTTGCTGGAAGTGCTCTTCTGTTGGGTCCATTTCTGTTGACTGACTGCACTGTCACCGAGTATAGAACACACGAGATGAAACGGTGGCTGAGGCGTGATCCTGAACCTCAGGAGACTGCAGGTGGAACATGGGAGTTACTTTCTCCTGTTTGCTCCTCATTCTGTTGGCTGTATGTTTGTCCCATGTTGGTGCCAAAAGACTGGAAGAGGCGCTGGGAATCGTTGCCGCAGGGTCTGGGGGGCAGAGAGGGCGTAGGGGAGCCTCGGGGATGCGCTCACCAGGTGGGGCTCCTCCCTTCACTGACTGGACGGCTGCGCACGAGGTGCCGGGCACTTGCATCATGGCTCAGGAGACAGGTCAGACCAGGAACTTTGGGGTCTGACGGTGCTGCTGCTGGGAGGGGCGCTCGGGAGGGATTCCCTAGGGTCTCACTGGGCCTCTGTGGGGGCAGCTGACACAGCGATGCAGGGGGGAAGGAGGTCAGGCACAGGAGGAGCATGTGCAAGACTGAAACAAAGCAGGGGGCGGGGGAAGGCCGGGCAGGACTCGGCGTTTTAGTTCATCAGGAAACCTCGGGACAGAAACAAGGGAGGGCATCTGGTACCACACGTCACGTGTCCGCTCTCCCTGGGGACTGCAGGGCGGCTCTGACATGGCGTGTTGGCTGCGGAAACAGCAGTATTGTCCCCCGAAGTCCCAGGTGGGGGGTGCTCCTTCTGGTCCTGTATGCGGGCGGCTGTTCCTCGCGCTCACGGGGCCTTCTGCGGGCTCCTTTCCCAGTAGCGCCCGCTGCGCTCGGGTCCCTCAGGGAGTGGTGGTGCTGGCTGTGACGTGCTGTGCACAGGAGCATGACATCTGCACCTCTCTCTTCAGACCTGCACCCCACAGACAGCGCTCGGGAAGAGAGTCCCTCCGCGGGTGCAGGCACGTCTGTGCTGCTCGCACGTTGGCATCCGCTTCATCACGGAACCGGCAGCAGTGCCCTGGGCAGCCAGGCCCTTTCACCGTGTCTGTTTGTTTCTGTCGCAGGAGACTGGAGTGGCGCCTGGGCGGGGAGTCCTCAGCGGGAGGAGCCGCACACCTGGGCCCCAGGAGCTGGCTTCCGGGGAAGGCTCCGGCGGATGTGCAGGAGGCGGGATGTCACACTGACCCTTCCCGGGGAGCCTGCGGGGGCCCGAGACCAGCACGCAGCCTCTCGGCCTCGGCGGCGAGGGACACTGTGCACCGCCGTCTCTGCGTGAGAAGTGCGAGGCCGTCCACACGAGGGAGCTTCCAGGGGCTTCCAAACGCCCGCCAAGGCCTGCAGCCGGAGCCCGTGGAATGTTGACGCTCGGGACCCAAAAGGGAGCTCGGCGTTCATGAGCCCAGGATTCGCGCGGGCGTGCGTGTCGCTGCATCGTCGGTAGAGACCGAGGGGACACTATGCAGGAAGAAGCCTTCCTCAGGAAGGCAGGCAGGGCAGAGCTTAGGCCCACCTTGAACCCCCCGAGCAGAGCGAGCCTGAGATAAGCCGCCAGCATGGCCAAGTGCGAGGCTCAGCGACCTCGCGCCCTGTAACTGTAGTAGCCGCAGGAACTTTCTCCTCTGCGCCACGATACCAAATAGGAAACATGATCTACAAGTG